GTGATGGGGCCTCCCCCTGCCGGGCCACGGAGCTGGGGAAGGGCTGGGGGTGGTCTATATTTAGCCCGTGCAGCAGACACATCTGGAGTGCCTGGCAGTCGCAGGAGAGATTCGGCAGCTGCGAAGCCTGTTCCTTGCCTCCTCCCTGATTGAGACCCACCACACACACCCCTTCTCTTCCTGCAGTGGAGACGCACACTGAGCCATGAGACGAAGCTGCGTGCAGGAGGTGAGGCAGAGAGCAGGGCTCTGGGACGCCGGGAACGTGCCGAGTGGGGTTATCTGACCGCAGCGTCGTTTATGCAGAAACAAATTCTCCGTGTGGCCACACCACTGCGGGTGGCTTCCTGGTCCCTCCTACAGCCACGTTCATGTATTGGTGAGACACCTGCCTCTCGCCAGCATATGGTCATCTAGGTTATTCCGCATAAAAACGACAACTGACCCACTTGCTGAGCTGGTGATGGAGCCGTGGGACTTGCTCCCTGAGTCTCAGGGTCCGAGCGCCCGGGGTTAGGTCCTCAGGGGCCGCACCCAGAGCAACTGCTCCCGCTGCCACTCGGGCTTCTGCTCAGCGCCACAGTCCGCACCCTTAGCGTGTGGGTGCTTCGTCCGAGTGGGGACGGCTGTTGACGGTGCTTTCAGACGCGGTGTTTCTTCAGCTCACAGGCAGCAGAGCCCAGGCCCACACGCAGGCTCTGGGTGGTGCTCCTCCCACTCACCGTGCCTCATCCGGTCAGAGTTCACGTCTTTCAGTAACTTGTGCACTGGATGGAAACACACGCTTCTTCTATAAAGAGCACAGGCCTGGGGAGTTGAGCGATGACGGTGTTCTTGGGGAGCTGGAGCCAGAGTCCCCAGAGGGGCCTCCACCGGGCGGGAATGGGGAAGGGAGAGTGCGTCTGCGTGGAGGCGCCTGGCCAGGGGCACACGCAGGCCCAGGCTCCGGGTCGTCCGCCTGGAGTGAGTGGAGAGAGAGCCCACAGCAGAGGCTGTAGGGAGACCTCAGTGCCCACTGGGGGTCAACAAATCAATCTGAGATGCATTTGGTGCTTTTTTGTTAGTTTATTTCTTAGTGTCGTTCACGAGAAATGCCCTGGCCCTGCACAGCCGTCTTCCTGAGACGGTCACAGGCCATCAGGTGAGGTCTGGGGTGAATTATCAGGATAAATTCATTCAACAGGCGCTTCACTATGAGGTCACCTGCGTCGATGTGGGTGCTCGGTCCCCGAGGCTCTGTGAGGACGTAGTATTTCTTTTATTATTTTGTTTTTATTTATTTATTTTTAGTATTTCTTTTTGTATTTTGTTAAATAATACCAATAACATGGAGACATACACATTTGTTCATATAGGAACACTCCTCGTTTGAGGAGTCCCTGGGAGAGTTTTACACGTTTCACATAAATGGAGACAGAGGTAGTGCCCCTCTCTCTCTCTCTCTCTCTCTCTCTCTCTCTCTCTCATAAACTCGAATCTTTTATGCACAACTTGCTTACTCCGCCAAGGGTTTCGATTGAAAACCTCTTGCTTATCTAGAGATCAGTATTTTCCTTGGCCAGTGGTGACTCCAAATCTGATTGGAAATCCATGTTTAGTGACACTGACCATTGAACTAAAGTACAAGATTTTCCCCTCCTAGAGGCTAAATCATCTCCTTACACGATTCCACAAACATTTCAAAATAATAGAATTAAAAGTGCGTTCATACCCCCCCTCATAATAGATGAGGTGATTCTGCAGGTTGACAATGCGAGCCAGTTCCCTGGGAAACGCTGACTGTGCGCAGTGTCCAGAGTGAGGCTTTGCTGTCCCTTCTGAGGCCCGGAAGGTGGTTTGCATTTGTCGCAGGGGCCACGGCCCTTCCAGAGGCAGAGATCTGGTCCTGGACTCGAAAGGGGCAGAATCCAAACCGAATCCTGTGAGTCTGCCCAGGGTGCTCAATGGTTAGAGCATCGTCCTCTGCACCGGGCAGGGCACAGGCCTGGGTTGTGGGCTCGATACCCAGTGGGGGGTGTGCAGGAGGCAGCTGATCCATGATTCTCTCTCATCATTGATGTTTCTATCTCTCTCTCCCCTTCCCCTCTCTCTAAAAATCAATAAAAACATATTTTTTAAAATATATATTTTATTGATATTTTACAGAGAGGAAGGGAGAGGGATAGAGAGTTAGAAACATCGATGAGAGAGAAACATCGATCAGCTGCCTCCTGCACACCACCTACTGGGGATGTGCCCGCAACCAAGGTACATGCCCTTGACCGGAATCGAACCTGGGACCCTTCAGTCCGCAGGCCGACACTCTATCCACTGAGCCAAACCAGTCAGGGCAATAAAAACATATTTTAAAAAACACATTAAACAACAAAAACCCCCACTAACAACCCTTCACCTAAGTGAGTCCAGTAAACACAGAAGTTGAAAAAGTGCTGGCGGAGGCCCAGGACGGGGGCGGGACCCCACGCCCCTCCTTCTCTCCAGGCCCGGGACCCCCCCCCCCCCCCCCGCGGGGG